CCATTTCGTCTGATGGTACTTGTGTAGACGCACACACAGTTCCATTTTGTGTGATGGTACTTGTATAGACGCACATACAGTTCCATTTCGTGTGATGGTACTTGTATAGACGTACACACAGTTCTATATATTGTGATGGTACTTGTATAAGTGCGCATACAGTTCCATTTCGTGTGATGGTACTTGTATAGACGCACATACAGTTCTATATATTGTGATGGTACTTGTATAGGCGCACATACAGTTCCATTTCGTGAGATTGTACTTGTATAGACGCACACACAGTTCCGTTGTGTGTGATGGTACTTGTATAGAGACACATACAGTTCCATTTCATGTGTGATGGTACTTGTATAGATGCACATACAGTTCTATATATTGTGGTGGTACTTGTATAGGCGCACATACAGTTCTATATATTGTGATGGTACTTGTATAGACGCACATACAGCTCTATATATTGTGATGGTACTTGTATAGGCGCACATACAGTTTAATTTCGTGTGATGGTACTTGTGAAGACGCACACACAGTCTCATTTTTTGTGATGGTACTTGTATAGGCGCACATACAGTTCCATTGTGTGTGTGATGGTACTTGTATAGACGCACATACAGTTCTATATATTGTGATGGTACTTGTATAGACGCACATACAGTTCCATTTCGTGTGATGGTACTTGTATAGACGCAGATACAGTTCCATTTCGTGTGATGGTACTTGTATAGACGCACATACAGTTCCATTTTGTGTGATGGTACTTGTATAAACGCACATACAGTTCCATTTCGTGTGATGGTACTTGTATAGACGCACATACAGTTCCATTTCGTGTGATGGTACTTGTATAGACGCACATACAGTTCCATTTCGTGTGATGGTACTTGTATAGACGCACATACAGTTCCATTTCGTGTAATGGTACTTGTATAGACGCACATACAGTTCCATTTCGTGTGATGGTACTTGTATAGACGCACATACAGTTCCATTTCGTGTGATCGTACTTGTATAGACGCACATACAGTTCCATTTCATGTGATGGTACATGTATAGACGCAGACAGAGTTCCATTTCGTGTGATTGTACATATATAGACGTTCATACAGTTCCATTTCGTGTGATGGTTCTTCTGTAGACACACACACAGTTCCATTCTGTTTGATGGTACTTGTATAGACGCACATACAGTTCCATTTCGTGTGATGGTCCTTGCATAGACGCACATACGGTTCCATTTCGTGTGATGGTACTTGTATAGACGCACATACAGTTCCATTTCGTGTGTGATGGTACATGTATAGACGCACATACAGTTCCATTTCGTTTGATGGTACATGTATAGACGCACAGACAGTTCCATTTCGTGTGATGGTACATGTATAGACGCACATACAGTTCCATTTCGTGTGTGATGGTACTTGTATAGACGGACACACATTAATACAACTTTATTTGCAATTTGGTAACCTTTGTTTTTTGCAGCTTTGTGTTGTGAAAACTTGCAGAATGTTATTTGAACTTTTTCAATTGTTATACCCCGCAGTGCTGATACATATAACAGGATCGGTTGGATTTTCCCATGAAACAGTTTGAATGAAGATGCATTTGGCAAATCTTTATCCCTAAATCTAAACTTTTTAATGACATGTACAACTCTGTCACCTTGCATGGCAAGTGTCTCACCGGCTCTATTGAATATATTTCTACACGAAAATACACTACCTAAATATGTTTAACATGATAATTCTCTTAGCACTGATAAACCATTTTCCACATTTTGATACCCTACCTCCATTTTTAAGACTATTATTCTGGTCTTACCCGTTTTGATTTTTAATCCCCATTTCAGACATTTTGGATATCAGTTTTGCGCTGGAGAAGAATCGCCGAATCTGCTACAATGGCTACATAGTCTGCTAATAGTAGTGAGTGAGTTGGGTTTAACGCCGCTTTTAACAGTATTCCAGTTATATCACGGCGTGTCGGCTTAATGTGGGAGGAAAGCCCGAAGTGATGCAGGTCTCAGACGTTCTCAACCCACGAGCACGGGTATGGTGCTGACACACCTAGAAACATAATCGGGGCGAACCGGAATTCGAACCCACAATTATAGGTTTCTGGTGTGCCCAAGGGACGCAACTCTGCACACAAAATCGGGGCGCCTATTGATAGCGTGTCGTTTGAGTTTTTAGCAGCATGTCTTAGACAGAAACTAAGTTAGCATGTACGTTTGTGAAATTATAGGAATGAGACCACCCCTTCACTTGAACTGTCCGTATAAAGCACGGCCACCTCTCCCTTTGTTTTACTGTCCACGTCTTTTGTGTCCAGACCGGAGCCTCAACTTTGCCCCCATTGTCATAAACAGGTCAGCTTCCCATGCTCGCTGTGTGACCAGCCTACAGGTCAGTGAGAAAAATGTGTGCAGGACCTTCCCGCTTTCCTCGCAGTGTTTGTTTATTTCATTTGGAATGAGTATGGTGTGTACTTTAAGGTAAGCACGCCCTATTTAAATATTATAACAGATTGTATCATGCCGGTATACTGAATATCGTACTAACTTTGGTACTAACTTACGAAGTTTTCAGTTTTAGATGAAAGAGTAGCACATTGTGTTTGTTCCGTGTCTAGAAGTAGTTTTGTCCAAGATGCTTAAGGATGTTAATCAACGGTAATTGGGAGGTTGTTTGTGTTCTGACTTAGTCGTAGCCAACACCTGGAGTTCGTTCACCTGAACGATGGCATATCCCCGTTCTTCGGGCCTGGCGATTTGGGATGTGCGAGAGGTACAGTGTCAGTACCCGAGGGCCCTTGAACGTTTACCGTAGTTCCCCAAGCAATCACAAGGGGATGTTCTCCTTTAAACAGCTCTTATTCGCTCTTCGTGTCGCTGGTCTACCAACTCTACTTGTCACTTAATTAAGGGACTTCGGACGCAAAGCTGCAGTCTTGGTCGAAAGTCTGGTGCCTTGAGACTGTTTCTAAGTACGAGGTTCAGTGACAGAAGGACGAGAGCGGGCGCGCACCAGACTGACTAACTTGAGGTCCGCTCTTCGTTAAAAAACCCAGGTCCCTACGTCACAACTATCGTTATGATTAACCATTGGTTGGTAACCTTTTACCCTTGCAATAGACTATTCCACCCCTCTAGTCGTTCTTACCCCGATCCCTTATTTGGCGCTCTGTAAGGTGGATTCCAGGAATTTGGACCAGGACATTTATGTTTGATTCGTTGTAAGGTCACTGGCTAGAGATTCCCTATTTCTGACAGTTCGGGTGCTGTTTTCATCCCTTATTACCCTCATCCTCATAGGTGATATTCCCGTTGGCAGGAGTCCCACCTATACACTCACGTACTCCCATGTGCTCGACCATTTCCCTCTAAACACTCTTAGTATTGTTCGCAATCTATTTCCTCTACATTACGTGGATAAATGACCCGACTTCATACTAACTGTCTAAATACATATTATAATTCCATGCCCATAATAGTTAAACTGCAAAGAATCAAAGCATACATTACTTATATACTGAAACAAGTTGAAAACGCAACATTTGCGTTTGTAACTGTGCCCCACTCTTATGTTGTTGTAGTGTAAGTTGTAGACTTATGCTGGGAGCTCTCGTATCCTATAAATACCGTTATGTCAAGCTCTACCTGTTATGATTGGTTTTGGCAGGATATAGTCGTAGTGACCAAGAGCCACCGCTTTAGCCACTCAGCCTCCACCACTGCCCATGTCTGATACATGTTAAATCAGCAAAACTATAACCAAACTTGTCCACCGTGAACGAGACTTTACCCTAAGAAGAAGAAAAGTCCAGCGCTTTACACTGACCAGCGAACTCGCTTCACTTGTTTGTTGTCGCCTTCCTTTGATTTGACTTAGTGCTTAGAAATTTACAAACCTAAAAACATAATCGGGGCGAACCGGGATTCGAATCCACGATCATAGATTTCGACCTGCATCACTTCGGGCTTTCCTCCCGCATCAAGCTGACACGCCGTGGTATAACTGTAATACTGTTAAAAACGGCGTTAAATGAAACGGACTAACTAACTTCACTGGTGTATAACGTTGATAAAGTTGTCCACAAGCAAATGGAGAACATAACCACCAATATGGCGGCAGGACAAGAACAGATATGTTGGGAGTTGCTACTGTGTTGTGTCAATGTAACCCAGCCTGTGTCACTACCGGTTTATTACAGTGGCCGTTCTTCATATCCGGAAACTCACAGAATATTCATTCTTAAAAGTGACGCCGGGGTAATAGTTATGCATAGTTCGGGTCGGGGAACATAAGAAAATATTTATGACCATCACCATCCAGTGTCTGTGTGTGTCCACTCGTTTCCCTGAACGAGAAAATACATTCCCATGTAACCTTCAACTATTCTAACACTCTAAGATTCCAAGACCGCCTCCGTGGTCCAGTGGTAGAGCGTCCGCCCGGAGAGCGGAAGGTCCGGGGTTCGATCCCCGACCGCGTCATACCAAAAGACGTTAAAAGATGGTACATGTTGTTACCCTGTCTGGCGCTCGGCATTAGGGGGCTAAAACAAGGACTGGTCGGCTCGGAGTCAGTATACTGTGTCTGAGTGGGGTATTCATGTTAAACTGCGGCATTGTATCTCAGTGAGCTAGCACTATAAATCGGCATCAGTCCGGACTAGTACAAGCAGCCACACAAACACACACACGTCCATGCACGTCGCTATATAAGTGCAATAATCTTGGACGCGACGTTAAACCCCATTTCACCTCACCTCTAAGATTCCAATATATCCCTGACCAGAGTGAAAACTATCAGATACGTTTTCACGTTTTACTTAAAGTAATAAAACGATAACGATACAAAGTGCTTCTGTGGCAGGAGCCCAGGTAGCAATATCTATGGTGGGACGGCAGTGCCCTTTAGGGACCTTGTGTATAAGGTCAGCACAATCAGTCTGCCTAAGCAATCCAGTACAGCAGTTAGGTCACCACGGCGTGGACAACGGCCTATTCTCCACCGATTTCCATGCCAGTCCAGCTGAATGCTATTTGAATATATCAGTGGAGGCTGCATCGATCGATGGTGCGCTCATCTTGACTCCCCGGTTGTAGGCACCAGACTGCAATCGGTGGCGGGAAACATCTCGCGGCACTCGTGTCCTCCGTTCGCCCTTGATTCATTCACCCTCCTGCAGTCGCTGTCGCTGGCCCTACTCCTACACCTGGTCGAAAACCATCTACACACCATGGATTTATACGGCCAGAGGGACTAAACTTTCATACTGAGGTAGGGTTAGGGCTCTTGGCTTTTCTCACGAGTTGTTGACATTGGAAATGTCACGATTTGATGTCCCCCGATGACATGTTCTAAAAGTGTATACAATAGTCAGTCCACAAATAATGCCATGATTGGTCAAAGGTAAAGCCAATATCTTGTAATTCATTGAGTTAAACACAAGATCTGTGGAATTGACCGGTAACAAACGATCACTTTTATTTAATTTGAGGTAAGGCGGTGTTCGTTTCGCAATGAAATATGTCTCCTTCCAATGTTAGAAATGCTGTCAGAACACGATCAATGCCGTAATCGGTCCATGTGGAAACTTCCGCTGCTGCTAGACAGAGTTCCTGTCAACTGAGTAGAAATATGTCACTTTGTCACTGTAGTCGCCGTGTTCGGGAATCAGTCGTGACTACGTCCGCATTGATATCTCCTGCTCCGGCCGTACATCACAGTATCAGACCTTCACCAAGTAGGAACATGGCCATCTCGCAGAGCCCAAAACGTATTGCCAATCTCATCATGCTAAATGCGACACTGCCTCTATATTAGAAATAAATGGAGAAACAATATCTACGCTGTCATGTATGTAGATTATGCGTAGCTGCCTAGAGAGTAATTAACTGACAGTGTGTGACAGCTGTGAACACCAGCGTTGTACATCCCAGGCCTAGAGCACACAGCAGGGGCTCCATGAACTGGCTGACCGAGAAGCATCCTAACGCCCAGGTGTAGATTACATGATACCTGATCGGTCCTCACTCCTGTACAGAAGACCAGACAACTGGGACTGCCTGTGATGGTCGCACTGCAGCTATGTAGCTCACTTCATCCACCCAAGTGAGTCACATCAGCATGTGTAGTTGAGGGAGTTGCGCGGGCCGTGGAGGGATATGTCATATTACCAGAGAACAGGAACTCGTTCCACAAAGCGATCGTTGCGCTAAGAGGATCGTCACTCCCATACTTTAACATAGACTTACGAGAGTCGTAGTGGTACGGGGCCCTGCAGACCTGAGTATATTTACCAAGTATAGGGAGTCGTTGAAACTATCAGTTCACACGCGCCACGCCATCCTGCACACCGAATGGCATGTACCTGACTATGCACATTTCTCTTTCGATCCACGTGTTAATAGGTTTGCTGGATATGTTTTGCGTCGACAGCTTACAGCCTGTTAGTGGCAGACACACGAATTCCTGTCTAGCCTGCCTGGTCGCTGGTACATGCGACAGGATTGGTAACACACAAATCACCACCAAACGAGTTGTACAGTCGTCGTCACGCTTGTCACTTGAGTAGCACTGTGACCTACTTTCAGTGCTGTAACCATGTGTTCAGTATCAGCGATCGCCAGATTTATTGGAGTTATTTCTATTACGTTTTCATGGATATGTGGTTCTGATTTCAAATATTGCATATTGAGTATAGAAACGGTTATATGTATTGTTCAATTATTGCAAATCCCGGCCTTTGTCCTTTGATTTGTCAAAACCTAAATTAATTGTGTTCAGGAGAGGTGGGAGCAGCACGAGTGGACACGTGGACATATCTGTCATTGTGAAGTTGTGAATCTATATAATTATCTTCCTATAGTAGTCACAAGTCCTTCTCAGAGTTAAAGATACGTTGCAAGCAAATTCCAAGAAAGGGTTATTTGAAGTACTAAGGACACTTCATTGCCATTTGAAGCACTAAGGACAATATATTACCACTGGAAGTACTAAGGACAATATATTGTCAGTTGAAGAACTAAGGACAATATATTGCCATTTAAAGTACTAAGGACAATGTATTGCTATTTGAATTACTAAGGGCAATATATTGCCAAGATAAGTTCTCATTCAATGTTTCCTTTAACATTTCGTTGTCTCAAATAATGCCAATTGTACTCTTCTGTTCAGTAATATGGGGCTACCAAAGACAGGAGTGCATAGAGAAGGTACTTAATATTACTTGCAAACGTTTTCTGAATATATATAAGACTACTCCAAATGCCATGGTTTTTGAGAATGTGGAAGATACGCTGTATATACTTAAGGAAAAAAGTAACATTCATTTTCCTGTAGGAACACCATCTCCTCCGGATTGTTCTATAGGAACGTGTTGCAGAAACGTTGACTTGACAGCTGATGATGTACATTCCTCTACCTGTAGCTGCTCAGACTCGTCATACTGCCACCACCCTTTAAGGTCATATTATCACATGGGACCCCTCTGCTGTTGACAATAACAACCTTTCTCGGTTATTCAGATATAGACCACAATATCATCAGCAGCTTCCTCCCAACTTGGAATCACAACTTTAAATTTGTTATGGATGCACATTCCAAAAAATGGGCCCACACAGAAGATGAACCTGTTGAATGTGTTTCGAGCACAATACTGTTTCTGTCTCTTTGGAGGCGTTATCCACAGCAGGGCAGCACTCATGACTCGTGTCGGTCTTCCACATGTATGACAAGAAGACAACCATATTCGGTTGGTACATCTACGAAATCGATGCCAAATTGCCATATATACAGCTCAGACAATTCCTGGGTTGAGACCAATCAGAGGCAGAACCGTGCACAACCAAGGGAGCCCAACATCACCCTAACGTCCAATTTTGCTTTCATCGTCAGGCACGTCTAGCTTCGTGTAGACAGCATCTGAGGTTCAGAAGACATGACTGGGACACATTTCATCAGGACAGGTCTCATGGTCATGTAAGGATTAACACGCGTCCAGAAGACCGTTTTCGCGACGCTTGCATTACAACACGTCGTCAGTTTGGGGGTGGACGTGTAATGGTGTTGGGTGGCATCACAACGCATGGGAGAACACAACTCATCATTGTTAATGGCCATTTGAATGGCAATCGCTACCAGGGCGACATCAATCGATATCATGTTCTACCTTTTGTGCAAGTGCAGTCACGTAACATGTTGCAGCAGGATAATGCCCTGCCACATGTCGCATGTGTTGTAACAGACTTTATGAGGCAGCATAAGATTGCCGTAGTGCCATGGCAGGCTGTTTCTCCAGACCTTTTCCCCCAGAGAACATGTCTGGGATGAGATGGAGCGCCGCTTACGACAGGACCGGAACCAGCTAGCTCAGTTTGTCAAATCTTTGGTTGTCAATTGGAACAAGAGTAAATGGGCTGTTTCAATCATATGGGGCCTTCAATGCGCCTCCGCTTCCTTGCCTGTATCAACGCAAATAGTCAAACCCGATATTGACATTGTTCATTGAGGTGTTACACCACCCCTCTTTAGGGCGTGTCGCTCTGTCTCCTGTTGCCAGGTATGGGTTTTCTCAATGAATGTCTTATGATAAAACATGGATCAGAAAAATGACCAAATATTATGTATATGAAGTTACTTTTTCCGCTAGTATATTATAATTCTTTACCGAGATGTATTAAGTTTTGGGATAAGGATCTACTCAACAGTATTGTCTTCCGTGGGCAACTTCTGTCAAGAATGTGTGGTTTTGGTTTTGCTTGAATCTTCCACGAAGTGGATAGTGTTGAAATACAGTGAATCCTCGCCAAGTAGAAACCTTATAAGTGGAAACTCCTCTAATGTAGATACTTTCTTTTGGTCCTGACATTATCACTATATAATTATTATTATTTTATATCTCTAAAGTAGAACCCTTTAAGTAGAATCAATCTGTTATCTAGATACACTCTTTGTACCCAGAGAGAAGTTATACAGTAAATTTCACATGATAAGAATAATAATAGTTAGTTTGATTTCAAATGCATTACTGACTAAGCCGTCACTACACAATTGAGTAATTAACTGACAATTGGAAGTGCTTATCCCCACCCGACACTGATTGCCCTCTTATCCTTAGTCCACAATGAGATGATTCAGTAATGACACGCAGCTTGTAGTTGGTGAACTAGAAAACCCGCTAAATAGAGATTATTTCGGGGTCCTTACATTTTCTACTTATCAGAGTTTTACTGTATTTCTGTTTGATTCTAAACAAAGATATTTAACTCAAGAACAGCTAAGTAGTCTACGATCTAGTGGTAGATATGATTTATACTGGGCAATCAAAGTTAGAACCTGAGTGGTATGTTATAGATTCCTCACTTGCTTTATTCTAACGTCGCTTGTTGACAAAATTCCATATATGTATGTCAGGTTAGCTGTGGGGCAACGAAAATATGCCGGTGCCATTAAAAGTAAGAGCCTATGTGGATCTTTTTGGGGTATGATTTGTCAAGTTTATAAAAGTCTTCGAGAACAGCAGCTCCCTGTAAACATTATTGCACAATGTTCTTTACACTCCTTTGTAAATCTTATGTCTTCACAAAGTATGTCTCTTATAGAAGCGTTGCGATTATTGCTCCATAAAGCCCTAAATGTGAGGCAACAACTCCTGCCTAAACAGGATATTTGATTATATAATGTCCTTAAATTCAACGAGCTTTCAATGAGTGATCAAAATTTAATGATTATCAATATCCTAACCATATACTAGCCTGATATCTCATTGATGGTGTACTGTATTGTTCTTGTAAACGGGCCACTGATATATTCAGGTTTACAAGTAAACTAGCCACATAAAGAAACTGTGCACGGAGAAAATATAGATATAAGGGCACACCGTCCATATATGAAAGATAGGTTTGAACACAGCAATTATTGGAGACATTCAAACGCTCATGCACGTGCCATGCGAAATGACGTCATTGATGGGGGCCTATGGACGTGCAATGTGTTACTGCACGTGCATCCTGTGCAGCTGTACACAGCATGTGCAACTCAAAATTCGCTATCACTTTGGAAAGCATGATCTGTGGTCATTCAAAAATTCAAAACTTCTCAGGCGCAGACAAGCATATCACAAGCAAATCATGCCAAGATTGACAGCTCCACAGCGTCATGAAGCCATTGGAATGATCCGAGCGGGAATGAGGCAACAACAGGTGGCAACACATTTCCAATGCCATCGTAACACGATATCGGCATTGTTGAGGCGTTATCAGAACACAAATGACGTT